TAACTTCTTCTCCAGTTCCACTGGTGCCATTGAGCTAAAAAATTGGTGGGAATGTTAAGGAAAGGTAGCCAACAAAGTGTTGTTATTTTTCAACCTTTGTCAAAACTTTGATATGGCAACTAGGGAGGCCATTTTGTAACATGATTGCGCAATCACAGTTTTCCTGTGCAACACTTATTTCAAACTTCTCAAGTTTCACCAGTTGGACTGAGCTCTAACTTTACTGTCAAAAAATAGGTAACACTTGTTACTGTTACGTACTCCTCACCAAAACTACAACATCATGGAAAACAGCTTCTTAGTAAGATTTCATTCATAGTAGAAAAAAGAACCCTTCTCCCTACTGAAGCACGATGACTATAGGTCATCATGACTCTTCGGGTCAGATGACCTAATAGTTAAAATACAAAATTAATAAGGTTTTTGACAATTTAATCAAACATTGACAACGTACATCATTAGATATGATCAAATTTCAAAATTTGTCTTTCAAAAGTCTCTGATAAAAAAACCATTTTTATCTACTTTTAACAGAATAAGTCACTGTTGCCTCAATAGAATAAAAAACATTTATTTCACCAACTGTTCATTTTCTTCTTAATGAGATTTTATAAATAAACGTTCATGTGATATCCTACAAGAGTTATCTCCCTTCCTTTGATGAAACTTTTTTGCCAGTATGAAACCAGCTCCCGGCCCAAGGAAGTCTTCCTCCGTAGTTTTCTTTTTTGCTTGAAATTCCAATCCTTCCACTAAGGCCCTAATAAAACACTATCTTCCCATCTATTCTAAAAGAGGTAGGGTTCGTTATGACTGTCTCTTGGTAGAACACGATTTCTTATCAAAAGTAATATTTGTGCAGATACTGCTGCGTAGGCAATCAGTCTCAAATATCCAGATGGTGTCGTTTTTAAAGATTTGCGAAATCGCCAGACTTCATTCCTGAAAAATAAATAAATAAATAAATCCTTCTCATAGAAATAGGGATTCATCAATGCATCATTTCCATCAAGAAGGTTAGGCTATATACTGTTAAATCAAATATTTTAGTGGGGGTCAATTTTCACTGTTTTCCAAAAATCTATTTCATGAATAACTCAATAAATCTACTTACATGTTATTCAACAGTTGGTGGAATTTTGATTTCACGGATACAGAGTGTATCTTTTCTGCAAAATTTCCAGTTCACTTTTGAAAACTTCAATCCCAAATTTCAACAAATTCTGAATTCTACAAATTGATATTCTCATATTGTTTTCATGCTTAAAGCTTGCAAAACAAGCCTTAAAGATTATTTTCGTGAAGAAAAATTGGAAAAATCATTGTTCACTTCAATGTTTCTTCATGTGTACAGACAACAAGAATGAGACTATGTGATAAGTGTCTTACCCGACAAACCAGCCAGAAGTGGCCGAATCAATAAGATCACCCAAACCTGCAGAGACGGTCCGAAAGAATTAATACAATAAATACAGTATTCTATGAAATCAAGAGTTTCTCATACTGGATATTAATTAATATTTCCAGTATTTTGTCCCTATTAACCAAAATGAAATACCTAGAAATACTATGCTTGCTCCATATGACTTCAATATAATTCATATTATTGAATACAATATTGTCGTCTTTCAGGTTTGAGGCATCCTGCAAATGGAACAGCCTTTCCGAATGATCTGCGAAAGGTGGAAAACTCCATCGTTCTGGAGGTTGTTCCATATGTGGGATAGTCCGGACAATAATTGTACAATATGTGCTTATACCAGAGTTTTTCTCTCATCGTATGTTGTATGCCCTTTTGCTTTTTCCTGGGCATTGTGATGTGTACTTTACTTTCCTTTTTCATTGCTTTGCGTTTATACTTGTTCATTTAAATTGCTTTCATCTCACACTACATTATCGTATACTCTGGCAACTTTACCTTTTGCTACATTAAAGGGGCAATTTAGTCAAGTTTTTCATGTCAAAAAATTGTCCATGGAATTGTAGTTCTGTATTCCTTATGAACTAAGCATGTCCTAATATCAGCACAATAGTAAGAAATGTACAACTAACATTTTATATAAAAATACAGGGCACTTTGACCGAACTGGCATGTGCAAACCTGTCTTGAGAATGTCAAAAAAACCCAACAGCTTCCAACCTGAAAAGGAGCAAGTCAATAAAGTAATCCTAGAATCGTTGTTGGACATGAATGTGAAAGATGGAATGTATTGTAAATTATAGCCCTGAGAAAGATTTATATTACCGTGTCATCACTCTGTTCTTCCATCACATGGATTTGTTCTCGCATGTCATTTCACACTATACAATGTTTTTTACTATATTTGGGATAGGCTTTCCCAAAATTTGAACTGATCACAATGGTTAAGTGGCAAATAACTTCTACATAGTTTTTTTCTTGATATGTATAATTTTGATTCTACATTGGTTGAAGAAATTGTTTCTGTTCGCTACACTTGATCAATGGTGTTTTTAATATTAAGTAACATGCTAGTGTTCATTCTTAAATTTTGGTTTCATCTTATCTCTGATGCTTTGCTAATCTCTCAGGTTTTTTCAGCTGAACCGAAACCACTTAAGTTATATTTATATGTTCCTTTGTATTCCTATATCTTTGTTTGACAAAATACAAGCTCTTTCAAGTTTATGTTCACAGTGGTCATACATCCGACGTAATAGGCAGTTTCTAGTATGTATCTCGGTACGTATTGCATTTGGTCAGCATTAGTTTGCGATTGTGTATTAACAAGTGAATCGTTCGTTCCCAACGTTTCACTAGGTCTCAACAAAATTGTCATGCTGAAAATAATTCAGTTAGATTACCTAATCCACGGATCTTTTAATCCTTGTTCGGAAAGAATTCTCTGATATTCTTCTAATCCTTTGATTCCATCGATTTTGTAGGTCGACCAGTGATTAAGCTTCGGGTATTCGGGTTTACTCGTTTTGCCTCCCATTGCATTGATTCGTCGTAGAGGTCAATGCAGTAGATTTCGTTAAAATTCACAATGTTAGTTTCGTATAGAGAATTTTTCATTCAGCATAAAAGTATTCAAAATGCATGAGTACAATTCAAGTATTATCACTACTATTATTTATGGTCGCAATTTTAACTTTATAAGGTGTAATATGAACTCAGATGGTATTATTGAAAAAAAAAAAAAAAATACGAAACGAATTTGTTAACAAGCGACTAGTCCTTGTCCTCCTCCGTTTAGCTGACACAGGCGGTGCTGGTAAAACCGGAATACATAGGTAATGTCACTATTTCTAAATTCCTTAGCAACCAAGCATACCGTTAATATTTTAAACAACGTGTTTTATGCTTGATTTCTTGTCACAACGAAGTTTTATCAGGGGAAAATTGTACGATATAAAAACAAATACAACATTAAAATATATATTTTAAGTTAAAACGAAACCGAAAGTACATATCCTATGCACATAATACTAATAATTTCTAGCTCATATGTCCAAGAGCAAATGCGCTTATGCCGTAGCATAGCGTTCACCGTCAAAATAGCATTTATAATGACTTCGTTATGGAAAATACTCGTTATATGGTAAAGTGAAATGATATTGTAACAATATATTTACCATTTTCGTGGTGTTGATTGAACATGGTTCGATGAATTATTCTATAGGTCCAAGAATTGTGGAACGAGAATATTTGCATAATTGATGTTATATATATGGACTTTATGAAGGCCTTTGACAAGGTACCACATCGCAGGTTAATTGAAAAATTTAGAAGCTACGGAATAGCAGACCAAGTCGTCAACTGGGTAGAAAACTTTCTACACGAAAGGAAGCAGAGAGTACTAGTTAATGGAAAAGCATCCAAAGACCATTAAGTGGGATCCCCCAGGGCAGCGTACTTGGCCCAATTCTATTTGTAATCTATATAAATGATCTGCCAGATTATACTTCTTCGAACACCTACCTATTTGATGATGACACTAAGATTTATAGAGAAATAAAAAGTGATGAGGACAGGAAGGCAATGCAACAAGACTTGGATAAACTGCAAGAATGGTCTAACAAATGGCTTCTAAAATTCCATCCACTAAAATGTAAAGTATTAACAATAAAACAAAAAAGGAAAGAAACATGGACATACCATATGGCAGGAGCAGAGGACAACGTGGCGTTGGAAAACATAACTTCAGAAAAAGATATTGGCGTAACGGTGGATAAAGATCTAAATTTCTCTATGCATATGCAACAAGCTGTAAACAAAGCCAACAGTATTGTTGGTCTTATTAGAAGGTCCTTTGTATACTTAGATGAAGTGTCTTTTCAACAACTGTTCAAGGCATTAGTCCGCCCGCACTTAGAATATGCCGCAAGCGTCTGGAACCCATACAAAATAAAGGATATTGAATCAATAGAGCGCGTGCAGAGACGGGCAACTAAGCTTATACCGGGGCTGAAAGAACTATCCTACAGCGACCGTCTCAAGAAACTTGGACTCCCGACATTGGCATACCGTAGATTGAGGGGAGATATGATAAATGTTTTCAAAATTATGGATAAATTTCACGATGAAAAAGTCACCAAAGGCATGTTTGATCGAGACGAAAATTCTAAAACAAGAGGCCACTCAAAGAAACTGAAAAAGAAATCATGTAATCTGGACATTCGGAAATACTCATTTGGACTAAGAACTATAGACCTATGGAACAGTCTACCAGAAAAAGTAATCCAATCATCAACAATCAGAGACTTTGAAATTAATTTGGACAATCATTGGAAAAATCTCGAACTGAAATTTAACCATCTGGCTCGTTGCAATTCACTAATCGGAAGTGACTATATAATTTAATTGTATGATTATTATTGATATGGATATAGAGGCACTGTGTGCCTGCCTCCATTAAATATCCTAATAAATCCTAATAAATAATAAATAGTTAAATTCATATATATAGTTCCCTCTATGAATCCTTCAACCCAGGTTTGGTGATCTTAGACCCACAAGGGTCTTACAAATTGGAAACATGAGGTATCTGGCAAAAGAGCATGGAGACGGAAATTAAGTTCAATATATCTTATTAACATCAACAAGGGTACAGACTTAACTTAAATTAGGACACAGACTTATTGGTGAACATCAAAACAATGTATGTAATCAGTTAACATTTGTGGGTTTATTACCAGCAACTGGCTTATTACCTAATATAAATAATGATTGAAGTTTCAAAGTTACAGGTATACTGTTGTAAGTGTAAATATGTTTGTTATGTTTGAGTCACTGGTACATGTGATGTGAAGTTTACCTGCGCAAGTGTTATGGACAGTATCATAGAAATGTTGGTGTGGTGCACCCTGTTTTTTTGCCATACAAATTTGCCTCCCTTTAGACTACACATTAATATAGCCAAGAGGATCCCTTGAAAATAGCCAAGAGTCATGGAGACGGTAAATCAACATCATCTTCTTCCACAAATATGAGATCTTGGACTGACAGCTGGAAAATGGATGTGTTTGAAAAAGACAGACTGTTCTGACCAATCGAGAAGACAAGACTAGGATAAGAGAACTTCTGTGGCTACAGTTCATGTGTCTAAAGTGAGGGACATGTCTGCATGGATAACAATTGACCACAAACTGGTAATGTGTTGTGTGAGACATGGTTTGTCACAGTGATCAGACAGTCCATGGCATGGAGGAATGTAAGATTGTCATTGTTTTGTTGTTTACATGTGTAACTTTATAACTTGTTGAAATTCACTTTACATCTCTATTGTGTTTTGCTTTCCAAAGAAATACTATTAAGTATGTAAAGGAAAGATCCCAAAACAAATTGTGAGGGCAGCTTTCTTTGATAACTGTTAGTAATAGTTTATGTATTACTTCTGTTTTCTTTTGTAGAAACATGAGCAATATTCAAACAGTAGATTCTGCAGATTATCATGCTGAAAAATACACCCTCCAGAATTGTAGACTCTGGGTTTTACTGGTTAAAGATGAAAGACAAGAGATTTCACCAATGATGAGAGAAAAAAAGTCCAAAGAAAGGATTGAAAATGATATAAAGGAACTTGAAGAAACGTTTCATTGGACATTTGGTGAAAGTGTTGACCTGGAGAAAATAACCATCGATAGAATGACTACGAAAAGTGTCCTCGAGGAAAGACTTAAAGAAAGTGGTAAGTGTGTGGACCCGTATGTAGCATTCATCTAGACATCAGACATCAGACATCAGACATCAGACATCAGACATCAGACATCTGACATCAGACATCAGACATCAGACATCAGACATCAGACATCTGACATCAGACATCAGACATCAGACATCAGACATCTGACATCAGACATCAGACATCAGACATCAGACATCTGACATCAGACATCAGACATCAGACATCTGACATCAGACATCAGACATCAGACATCAGACATCAGACATCTGACAGCAATTTTAAGGTGTTAAGTCAGAGTTATATGATTTTATGTTGCCCAAATGGCCAAGTGAGTCTTGATGTGTTATCCATCTGTCCATCGGTCTGTTGTCTGTCCATCGGTCTGTTGTCCGTCCATCCGTCTATCATCTGTTCATGGGTCTGTTGTCTGTCCATTGGTCTGTCATCCGTCCATCATCTATCCGTCTGTCTATCATCTGTCCATCTGTCTATTGTCTGTCCATCGGTCTGTTGTCTGTCCATCAGTCTGTTGTCAGTCCATCCCTCTATCATCTGTCCATCTGTCTGTTTTCTGTCCATCTGTCTATTGTCTGTCCATCTGTCTGTTGTCTGTCCATCAGTCTGTTGTCTGTCCATCAGTCTGTTGTCAGTCCGTCCCTCTATCATCTGTCCATCTGTCTGTTGTCTGTCCATCTGTCTGTTGTCTGTCTGTACTTCTATTGTCAGTCTGTGTGCCTATTGTCAGTCCATCTGTCTGTTGTCTGTCCCTCTGTCTGTTGTCTATCTGTACATCTATTGTCAGTCTGTCTGTCTGTCTATTGTCAGTCTGTGTGCCTATTGTCAGTCCATCTGTCTATTGTCAGTCCATTCACCTGTTGTTGGTCCCTCTGTCTGTCACCTGTCCATCTGTCTTATTGTTTGTTCATTCATATTTTGTCTATATTGCATCAATATTTACCTTTAAATGTCATTTGTTCAATAACCAAATGGCCAGATATCACCATATTGTGAAAACAATAACCCTTGACCTTTATTCACATTGAATCCAGAAGATTTTGCTGTATCAAAAGATTTTATGATGTGATTGTTTCTGTGCATCTCACCGGTGTCAGGATCTGAGGTCAGTTAGTGGATAATTGTACTAATGGAACTTCAGGTGATAATCTAAGTCATGGATAGTTTTTCATCAATTGCAAATGCAAAACAATTGGTGCTTCACAATACCATGCTACACCGGTAGTGTCCAATGTTGAGTTTATCACACACCAGCCAGTGTGTTTTGAAATGAGTCATTCTATAGATAATCCTCAGTTAGTGGCATGTCATAAAAGATTCTCCGAATCTTATTCTTGTCTCTTGGAGTTTTCACTTTCAACACCACTGTGTGCGCGTTGTTGATATCATCACTGTGGAGGGGCACTTCCAACTTGGTTTTTATGAACATCATGACATTTCCACACATTCTTCTACTGTTTCTTGTTCTTTGTGGTCTTCTAGTCCAAAAATTCTGACAGAGTTCTTTCTTCATTGTTGCTCCAAGTCATTATACTTAATAACACTCTCTTTCTTGCTTTGTTGAAGTTCTGAGACTTGATTCTCAAGGAAACCAACAGTCTCCCTGACTCCCTGAAGAGATTTATTTTCTTCTTCCAAGTCTGTAATTCTGGCCTGTAAAGACTCCGCAAGTTCCTTATTTTCACCACAGATATCCTCTCTAAGTTTGTCCTAGAGAATTACCAGTTTCCTATCAATGCCCTCCTTAGTGACCATACTGGCTAGTATTTTGGTGATATCGTCCTATCAATGTCCCCTTAGTGACCATACTGGCTAGTATTTTGGTGATATTGTCCTATCAATGTCCCCTTAGTGACCATACTGGCTAGTATTTTGGTGATATCGTCCTATCAATGTCCCCTTAGTGACCATACTGGCTAGTATTTTGGTGATATCGACCTATCAATGTCCCCTTAGTGACCATACTGGCTAGTATTTTGGTGATATCGTCCTATCAATGTCCCCTTAGTGACCATACTGGCTAGTATTTTGGTGGTATCGACCTATCAATGTCCCCTTAGTAACCATACTGGCTAGTATTTTGGTGATATTGTCCTATCAATGTCCTCCGTAGTGACCATACTGGCTAGTATTTTGGTGATATCATCCTATCAATGTCCCCTTAGTGACCATACTGGCTAGTATTTTGGTGATATCGTCCAATCAATGTCCCCTTAGTAACCATACTGGCCAGTATTTTGGTGATATCGTCCTATCAATGTCTCCTTAGTGACCATACTGGCTAGTATTTTGGTGATATCGTCCTATCAATGTCTCCTTAGTGACCATACTGGCTAGGATTTTGGTGATATCGACCTATCAATGTCCCCTTAGTGACCATACTGGCTAGTAGTTTAGTGATATCGTCCTATCAATGTCCTCCCTAGTGACCATACTGGCTAGGATTTTGGTGATATCGTCCTATCAATGTCCTCCGTAGTGACCATACTGGCCAGTATTTTGGTGATATTGTCCTATTAATGTCCCCTTAGTGACCATACTGGCTAGTATTTTGGTGATATCGTCCTATCAATGTCCTCCCTAGTGACCATACTGGCTAGGATTTTGGTGATATCGACCTATCAATGTCCCCTTAGTGACCATACTGGCTAGTATTTTAGTGATATCGTCCTATCAATGTCCCCTTAGTGACCATACTGGCTAGTATTTTGGTGATATCGTCCTATCAATGTCCTCCTTAGTGACCATACTGGCTAGGATTTTGGTGATATCGACCTATCAATGTCCCCTTAGTGACCATACTGGCTAGTATTTTAGTGATATCGTCCTATCAATGTCCTCTGTAGTGACCATACTGGCCAGTATTTTGGTGATATCGTCCTATCAATGTCCCCTTAGTGACCATACTGGCTAGGATTTTGGTGATATCGTCCTATCAATGTCCTCCTTAGTGACCATACAGGCTAGTATTTTGGTGATATCATCCTATCAATGTCCTCCCTATTGATCATACTGGCTAGTATTTTGGTGATATCGTCCTATCAATGTCCCCTTAGTGACCATACTGGCTAGTATTTTAATGATATCGTCCTATCAATGTCCCCTTAGTGACCATACTGGCCAGTATTTTGGTGATATCGTCCTATCAATGTCTCCTTAGTGACCATACTGGCTAGTATTTTGGTGATATCGTCCTATCAATGTCCCCTTAGTGACCATACTGGCTAGTATTTTGGTGATATCGTCCTATCAATGTCCTCCCTATTGACCATACTGGCTAGTATTTCGGTGATATCGACCTATCAATGTCCCCTTAGTGACCATACTGGCTAGTATTTTGGTGATATCGTCCTATCAATGTCCTCCTTAGTGACCATACTGGCTAGTATTTTGGTGATATCATCCTATCAATGTCCCCTTAGTGACCATACTGGCTAGTATTTTGGTGATATCGTCCTATCAATGTCCCCTTAGTGACCATACTGGCTAGTATTTTAATGATATCGTCCTATCAATGTCCCCTTAGTGACCATACTGGCCAGTATTTTGGTGATATCGTCCTATCAATGTCTCCTTAGTGACCATACTGGCTAGTATTTTGGTGATATCGTCCTATCAATGTCCCCTTAGTGACCATACTGGCTAGTATTTTGGTGATATCGTCCTATCAATGTCCTCCCTATTGACCATACTGGCTAGTATTTCAGTGATATCGACCTATCAATGTCCCCTTAGTGACCATACTGGCTAGTATTTTGGTGATATCGTCCTATCAATGTCCTCCTTAGTGACCATACTGGCTAGTAGTTTAGTGATATCGTCCTATCAATGTCCTCCCTAGTGACCATACTGGCTAGGATTTTGGTGATATCGTCCTATCAATGTCCTCCGTAGTGACCATACTGGCTAGTATTTTGGTGATATCGACCTATCAATGTCCCCTTAGTGACCATACTGGCTAGTAGTTTAGTGATATCGTCCTATCAATGTCCTCCCTAGTGACCATACTGGCTAGGATTTTGGTGATATCGTCCTATCAATGTCCTCCGTAGTGACCATACTGGCCAGTATTTTGGTGATATTGTCCTATCAATGTCCCCTTATTGACCATACTGGCTAGTATTTTGGTGATATCGTCCTATCAATGTCCTCCTTAGTGACCATACTGGCTAGTATTTTGGTGATATCGTCCTATCAATGTCCCCTTAGTGACCATACTGGCTAGTATTTTAATGATATCGTCCTATCAATGTCCCCTTAGTGACCATACTGGCCAGTATTTTGGTGATATCGTCCTATCAATGTCTCCTTAGTGACCATACTGGCTAGTATTTTGGTGATATCGTCCTATCAATGTCCCCTTAGTGACCATACTGGCTAGTATTTTAATGATATCGTCCTATCAATGTCCCCTTAGTGACCATACTGGCCAGTATTTTGGTGATATCGTCCTATCAATGTCCTCCCTATTGACCATACTGGCTAGTATTTTGGTGATATCGTCCAATCAATGTCCCCTTAGTGACCATACTGGCTAGTATTTTGGTGATATTGTCCTATCAATGTCCTCCTTAGTGACCATACTGGCTAGGATTTTGGTGATATCGTCCTATCAATGTCCTCCCTATTGACCATACTGGCTAGTATTTTGGTGATATCGTCCTATCAATGTCCCCTTAGTGACCATACTGGCTAGTATTTTAATGATATCGTCCTATCAATGTCCCCTTAGTGACCATACTGGCCAGTATTTTGGTGATATTGTCCTATCAATGTCCTCCGTAGTGACCATACTGGCTAGTATTTTGGTGATATCGTCCTATCAATGTCCCCTAAGTGACCATACTAGCTAGTATTTTGGTGATATCGTCCTATCAATGTCCCCTTAGTGACCATACTGGCTAGTATTTTGGTGATATTGTCCTATCAATGTCCTACTTAGTGACCATACTGGCTAGTATTTTAGTGATATTGTTCAATCGTTGAGTTATGGATTGCTCACCGTTTTTAGCCAATGATATCAAAGCTCTTGTTGGACCCATCGTGTCAAATCTCTGTAGATTCTAAACCTCAAGAAAATATTTAATGTTTAACGCACGCCACAGGTAAGTCACAGGTAAGTCACAGGTAAGTTTACAGGTGTGTCCGTTAGCAGTTGTCACTGCGGTGAGGTTCTATGCCATTGTGATTCTTTCAAAGTCCAAAACTCAGTTTTTTTTTTTAATTTCATCACTTTCTTTTTTTTTCCAAATTTTGTTGTTTTCCAAAATATATATGTTACCAAAAACAGTAATTTTAGTTGGAGCCAAACAAAAGTGTACTCTATTGGTCCACATGACCTTGACCTCCCTCCACTTAATTATATCTGTCTATGAAATGCCATTGGAGCTGTGTATGTTGTGTGGACCTTCTGTTCCAATGATTGACAGCAGATTTTAAAATCACTATTGATATAATTTCATTTCCAGCTAAATTAATTCCTAATGAAGTAGGAGTATTCCTCTGCGTATTTCTCGGCTTTGGCAGGTCACAATATATTTTACTCCCAAAGAAAGAAAACAAGGAAGAAATGGAAAAAATGGATTTTTCAGATGTGATCAAACCATTCAATGGAGAGAATTGTACAGCTTTAGTGATGAAACCAAAACTGTTTTTTGTTCAGGTGAGTATAACGTATGTGTCGGTAAACTTGTCAAATTTTTTGATTAACGATCTTCATTTGTCAAATGCTTGATGATCAGTTAGTATTTAGATAGAAATATGTATCAGTTGACCCATATAGAGGTCAAAGTTGAAAGTTCAAACATTAACATTCATTGAATGCAATGTTGTTATTCTAAACAAATATACCCAAGTAGCCAGTCTCTTACAAGGTCGCTACATATTTAGGTCACTTGTGACTTGGTCAGATATTTGCAAGGTCGTTACACATTAAGGTCATTTGTGACATGGTCTGACACTTACAAGGTCATGACATATTTAGGTCACTTGAAACTTTGTCAGTCTCTTACAAGGTCATGGTATATTTAGGTGATTTGAGACTTTTTCAGTCTCTTAGAAGGTCATGGCATATCTAGGTCACTTGAAACTTTGTCAGTCTCTTACAAGGTCATGACATATTTAGGTCACTTGAGACTTTGTCAGTCTCTTACAAGGTCATGACATATTTAGGTCACTTGAGACTTTGTCAGTCTCTTACAAGGTCATGACATATTTAGGTCACTTGATACTTTATCAATCTCTAACAAGGTCATGGCATTTCTAGGTCACTTGAAACTTTATCAATATCAAACAAGGTCATGGCATATCTAGGACACTTAAAACTTTTTCAGTGTCTTACAAGGTCATGACATATTTAGGTCACTTGAGACTTTGTCAGTCTCTTACAAGGTCATGACATATTTAGGTCACTTGAGACTTTGACAGTCTCTAACAAGGTCATGGCATATTTAGGTCACTTGAAACTTTATCAATATCAAACAAGGTCATGGCATATCTAGGACACTTAAAACTTTTTCAGTGTCTTACAAGGTCATGACATATTTAGGTCACTTGAGACTTTGTCAGTCTCTTACAAGGTCATGACATATTTAGGTCACTTGAGACTTTGACAGTCTCTAACAAGGTCATGGCATATCTAGGTCACTTGAAACTTTGTCAATCTCTTACAAGGTCATGACATATTTAGGTTATTTGAGACTTTCTCAGTCTCTTAAAGGTCATGACATATTTAGGTCATTTGAGACTTTGTCAGACTCTTATGAAGTCGTTATATGTTTAGGTCACTTGACACTCAGATGTCAGGCATATTTACATTACATATTGGCCAGTTTGATTTTGTTGTATAGTATCATGTGTGGTATGGATGTCTATTATTCACTTTTTCAGATTTTTTTTTCAGTTAAATTATTATTTATTTGATATGGATCAGAAAATTAGCTATAAAACATTAAGCCACTGTAACCATTGACCTGGTCCCTCTAACCAGAAGTTATTATTTTGTTTTTGTTTCTAGGCGGAGACAATAGATCCTGTCAAACCTTGTAGTGCCCTTTTTAGTGGTAATGCAAAAGAGGCTGAATTATTCAGGATTCCAATTCATGCTGATATTTTTGTGAACTTTTCCTCAGAACTTGCAGGTAAGTATATGTTTGGTTCACCTACCCCAAAGTATCAGTGTTTAGTGTGTTCACCTACCCCAAAGTATCAGTGTTTAGTGTGTTCACCTACCCCAAAGTATCAGTGTTTAGTGTGTTCACCTACCCCAAAGTATAAGTGTTTAGTGTGTTCACCTACCCCAAAGTATCAGTGTTTAGTGTGTTCACCTACCCCAAAGTATCAGTGTTTAGTGTGTTCACCTACCCCAAAGTATCAGTGTTTAGTGTGTTCACCTACCCCAAAGTATCAGTGTTTAGTGTGGGTGTGCCACTCCGGGTGTCATAGGGAACAAATTCTATAAAATCCTTTTTTTTTTGTTCTCAGTAAAGTCTTTTTTATAAACAACAGAATTCATATACATTTGTTAAAACTGACCGAGGTTTACCATACAAGGAATCAATCTTAATGTTGTTTTATCAGATATATATATAACATGTACTGCTTTGGTTTTATTTCCCCATCTTATACTATATATATATATATTATTATACTAAACATAAAAGGAAAGGTAACACTACTTTATTCTGTGATTAATTAATCAACGCCTTCATAAATCCTTACCAATCATGTACGAATAAAGTAATTGATCAATTCTGATAAAACTGCAGTCATGGTTCATTATAAAACTTTGCATTCAGTTGATTTTATTCGACTGTAAAGGAGGTTGGGATCAGTTTCAAAGGTAACACCATTAGTAACGGGTATGGCCACTGTTTGTGAAGTAAACAGCATTGCAGCATTGCAGCATTGTCGCATGGAACTCGTAAACCGGCGGATAATTCGAGGAGAGATGTTGTTCCATTCAGCGATCAAGGCTTGGGCCAGCTCCTGCAAGTTTGATGGCTGATTTTGACGTTCTCTCACGCGTCGCCCAAGAACGTCCCAGACATGCTCAATCAGTGACAAATCAGGTAATTTAGATGGCCAATCTAACACCTGTACGCGATTCTGCTGCAAGAAAGTTCTGCTGACGCGACTGGTGTGCGCTGGTGCGTTATCCTGTTGAAAAATGGCACCAACGCCATGGCGTCTTAAGAATGGCAGAACCACTGGTATTAAAATTTCGTCCCGATATCGAATGCCGGTTAAATTGCCATTTAACACAACAAACCTGGTACGAGTCCATCCACAAATACCACCCCAAACCATTAAACTTCCGCCGCCAAAGCGTTCCCGTTCTGCGACGCAGCAGTTGTAGTCTCTACTGCAGTTACGAATCGATCGCGCAAGTATATCAATCGTATACGACGGTCATCCCTGGCGGTGGTTTTACGGGGTCGGCAGCTGTGGGGACGTTCGGATGTTGACCCAGTTTGGTTTAAATGACTTACCAACTGGCAAATTGTCTTAACACTGCAACCAAAATGCCGTGCAACTCGACGGCGAGACTTCCCAGCTTGGATCATGCCTACAGCCCTTTCTCTCTGTACTTGTGACAGCCTGGGCATAATGATAAAGTTGATAGATAGCAAGATTCGGTGATTTCTAAGTCCTAAGGATCTAAGGAACAGTTGTCAGTTTGAATGTTTATGAAATTCAAGTGAAGATACAACTTAGTCGCAGAAAACCTTGTGCAGCTCTTTCGCTAATACAGACTTTCACGCTTGAATGATTTTGGTAACCCCCTTGTATTTTGTAATGTAAAACATTACCATTTTCTAATATTGCACAAACGTCATTTTGTTTTCACTCATTTACAGGTATTCGCCAAGTAAACATGTTAACCTTTCTTTTTTTGTTGAGTATATCATGCCTTTGTTTACACAGTATTTTATTATGCTGCTACCAGAAAACTTTTATCTGTTTACAACAGATATTTAAAATATTTTTATTGGAATGGAAAATGTAATATGGAGATGTGCCAATGAGGTGACTTTTCTTCTCCACTCCTTTGCAGAGAGTTATCCCCCTTTCATATAAAAAAATAAGCACAATTTTGGCTAAGGTCTTCTTAGTATCTTTTCATGTTATAGAGAATGGATTTAGGATGCTGATTTCTTTTTTTTTTTTGTACTTGAATGATATATAATATACTAAGATGATATAAAAATTCTTGATTTTCAGGACATGAAATAGCTATGATGACCAAGATAGTTCTAGCTTGTTCATCTGTTGTTTTCTCACCCATCCACGATCAAAGTGTTAAAGAAAACATTGACCGCAGTCGTTCTTACCAACTTGTATAAATATTTATTTCAATCTGCAACCTTTCCACCACCTCGCCACACTTTTTCCCATATAAATAGAATTATAGTACAGCTGCAATAGTTGGTTGATTCCTAACCATCTGGTACACTAGGTACTTCAGTCCTAGTACACTCCACAGTGCTCATTATGTAATGAAGGTGACAAATTGTAGTCATCAAAAACATCATACTCAGATCTTCAACGTGTTGTGTTACAAGAACTTCTATTATATAAAAAATGTGATTTCATGAAATATAACCACTGTGTTGATTTTATTTTTGCAGGAAAGGATTGGAATCAGGTTCTGATTCCTGGGGAAAAGGAGGGCAGTGAAAATGTCATGTCCAGGTATGTAAAGTTGCTGTGCTCCGAGGTAAAAGAACTTACATCACGCGTTGAAATACAACAGATGGTAACTAGGATCAATTATAAGATTCAAAAAGAAATTTCAGAACTGAAAAAGAAGCCTAGTAGTACAGAGGATCTTTTACCATTAACAACAAGCCAGCTGACGAAAAGTCTCTTTCTGTTTGAGGCATCCATGAAAAATACTGTCCCTCAGTGACAATATTGAATTATGAATATGAAAGTCAATATAGAAGTACAAATGATACCTGACTTTACTGACACCTGGCTTTACTGACACCTGAATTTAATGACATCCTGTAATGTAGTAAAACCTGACTTTACTGACACCTGACTTTAATGACATCCTGTAATATACAGTAAAACCTGACTTTACTGACACCTGACTTTAATGACATCCTGTAATATACAGTAAAACCTGACTTTACTGACACCTGACTTTAATGACATCTAGTAATATACAGTAAAACCTGACTTTACTGACACCTGACTTTAATGACATCCCGTAATATATAGTAAAACCTGACTTTACTGACACCTGACTTTAATGACATCCTGTAATATACAGTAAAACCTTACTTTACTGACACCTGACTTTAATGACATCCTGTAATATACAGTAAAACCTTACTTTACTGACACCTGACTTTAATGACATCCCGTAATATACAGTAAAACCTGACTTTAATGACGTCCTGTAATATACAGTAAAACCTTACTTTACTGACACCTGACTTTAATGACATCCCGTAATATACAGTAAAACCTGACTTTAATGACATCCTGTAATATACAGTAAAACCTGACTTTAATGACATCCTGTAATATACAGTAAAACCTGACTTTACTGACACCTGACTTTAATGACATCCTGTAATATATAGTAAAACCTGACTTTACTGGCACCTGACTTTAATGACATCCTGTAATATATAGTAAAACCTGACTTTACTGACACCTGACTTTAATGACATCCTGTAATATACAGTAAAACCTGACTTTACTGGCACCTGACTTTAATGACATCCTGTAATATACAGTAAAACCTGACTTTACTGACACCTGACTTTAATGACATCCTGTAATATACAGTAAAACCTGACTTTACTGACACCTGACTTTAATGACATCCTGTAATATACAGTAAAACCTGACTTTACTGACACCTGACTTTAATGACATCCTGTAATATACAGTAAAACCTGACTTTACTGACACCTGACTTTAATGACATCCCGTAATATATAGTAAAACCTGACTTTACTGACACCTGACTTTAATGACATCCTGTAATATACAGTAAAACCTGATTTTACTGACACCTGACTTTAATGACATCCCGTAATATACAGTAAAACCTGACTTTAATGATGTCCTGTAATATACAGTAAAACCTGACTTTACTGACACCTGACTTTAATGACATCCCGTAATATACAGTAAAACCTGACTTTACTGACATCCTGTAATATACAGTAAAACCTGACTTTACTGACACCTGACTTTAATGACATCCTGTAATATACAGTAAAACCTGACTTTACTGACACCTGACTTTTAAGACATCCTGTAATATACAGTAAAACCTGACTTTACCGACACCTTTTCTTTGATGTACCCTGTGAAGAGAGACCAAAGAGCAAGTTTGATTTTTAAAATAAAATCACTCAGTCCTTCTTTGAGCATACATTAAGTAAAAGTACCAGCTGATTTATTTATGTGTTTATTAAGACATAATTTTAGTATTCATATATATAAATCGTATATATTAATATGCTCATTTGATATTGTCACCTTTCTGCAGATAGAAATTCCTATGATTTATGCAATGAATTACATGCAACAAGTACTCACTAATATGACAAAGAAAAGAAGATAAAGTGCAGTATGTGGATTCAAGAGTTGTGGCTTGTCCATAGTAATTGTAAATACTCTTTACAGTTGGCTCTTTGTTGTGGAGGTGATAATTCTTGGACATCCTGATGTGTCCACGGTAATGGTATATACTGGTAAAATCATTAATTTTTGTGGGCAATTTATTTTTGTTGATTTTGAGGGTAATCTTAATTCACCAAGTCATATGGTCACAAAATCTTCAAATTAGTTGAAGTACATCAATTGAGCTTTATTTATTCACGAAATCAAATTTCCATGAAATAGTGATCCTTGGAAAAAAAATGAAAATTCAGTCCCACAAAAATGATTGGTTTTACGGTACAGGATAATCTCTCTCAAAATCATTACAAACATCACAGTTGTTATTTACATTTTTGAAATGTTTATTATATTGATTGTATAAAATAATATTTTGAAGTTTTTTCACTGGGAAATTTATACAGCAGTATGTTAAATGATTTGAAAACAATGAGGTGTTCTTTTTATTTCTTCATTTATTTACAATAAGTTCCATTGTTATGATTATTCTTTTGAAAAAATAATTAGTATGTACAGGAAATTCATCAAATAATTAGTATGTACAGGAAATTCATCAAATAATTAGTATGTACAGGAAATTCATCAAATATTTAGTATGTACAGGAAATTCATCAAATAATTGTAAGTGCTCAAGTTAAACTCTGCAATGAGAAAGTGTACTTATAGAATAAGCAGAGTTCAAACATTTTTAACAGTGTTACAGAGGCAAATTATTTTTGAAGAATTTCAACATGGTTGATTTCATTGCTTTACAAAAGTTTTAACATTTCTCAAAACTAAGGTACGATCATATTTTTTTATATTTTGAACATCATTGGCAAAAATTCTCATTACATGGATTATCATTGATTAACAAATGTTTGATCATTTCTCAAAAATAAGATAAAGTAATTTAACCTGCCATCATCAGATGGTGGCCAGTTTAAATTGCTCTGTGTCTGTCGTCTGTTATCCCTCTGTATGTCCGTAATCAATTTTTGTTATTGCTATTTCTTGAGAAGAACTGGATGGATCTTTCTCAAATTGCATATGTAGGTTTCCCCTTGGTCCCTAGTTGTGCCTGTTTGATTTTGGTACTGATAAGAAAAAACAAAATGACCAACAAGTGGCCATGTTTGATTTTGACTTCGAAAGTTTTTTATCACTATTTCTTGAGAACTACTTTATAGATCTTTCTTAAATTTCATGTATGGGTTCTTTTTGGTCCCTTGTTTTGCCTGTTTGAGTTTGGGACTGATCAGAAAAACAAAATGGCCGACGGACGGACATCTTAGATTTTAACAATGAAAGTTTGTTATGGCTATTTCTTGAGAACTACAGCATAGATCTTTCTCAAATTTTATGTGTTTGCTTGTCTTGATCCTTAATTGTGCCTGTTTGAATTTCATACTGATTAAAAAAAAAGTAATGGCCCACAAGCGGCCATCTTGGATTTTAACATTGAAAGTTTGTTATCACTATTTCTTTAGAACTATTCAATAGATCTTTCTTAAATTTCTTGTATATGTTCTTTTAGGTCCCTTGTTGTGCCTGTTTGAGTTTTGGACTGACCAGGAAAACAAAATGGCCGACAGGCAGCCATCTTGCATCTTGCCTAAAGATTGTTATTGCTATTTCTTAAGTAGTACTGAATGGATGTCTCTCAAATTTCAAACATATGTTCCCTTTGGTCTCTCCTTGTGCTTGTTTGATTTTGGGACTGATCAGAAGAAACAAAATGGCTTCCAGGCAGTGATTTTTGATTTGGCAAGTGAGAATTATCATCGCTATTTCTGCAAAGGAATGTTCAAATGTTTTATCATAAAGAGCAAAAACAGAGAAGAGAAGAGAAAAGAAGGGAAAAGATCCAACTTTCAAAAAGATCAATAAATGGTGGGTGCCAATATCCCTCTGGGATCTCTTGTTATTTTGGAAGGTCATTGGTGAAAATTCTCTTTACATGTATTTTTATAGATTCTTAGAAGTTTTATCATTTTTTCCAAACTAAGCTGTAATCATTGTATTTATTTTTTGAAGATCAAACATTTTCATTACGTGAGAGTAGCATAGACAGGAAATACAGTGTGGTGTTGGAGGAAATAACAAGCATATTGATCCTACAATTTCTAGTCATCATCCTGCATGTTTTTCCAAATCGAAAGATTTTTTTAACAAGATATTGGAATCTATCATTATTAGTTTTTGTGATTAATGTGAAATTGGAAAATTTTGTAGGCGATTTATTTTAGTTGAATTTGTTACTCTGATTCCACAAATTTATGTTCATGTAATAATACCCTGATAAAATTATAGCACTAGCAAAGTTAACTACAAAGTCAAAATCTAACAAAAATGTGTGTTTTTTAAAAACCACGAAATTTCAGCACCACTTTAAATTTATGATTTCACAGTAGTTCTTGAATCTTCAATCATTGTCACTAAACAGAAAAGCAAGCAATACTTGGATATTCCTTTAAAACACAACTGTAAATTTTTATTTTTGTTTTTCATTTTTATCAGAATTTCCAAGTGGTTGAATTTGTGTATGTTTATAAAAATGAAAAGAGTCACTGAAGTTGAATGTATAATGAATGTCTTACTACACAATAATATTTTGAAGTTGAAATGTTATCATAGTCTGAAAGCACAGAAAAGAAAGTCCAAGGATTTCTGTAATCATGAGAGAAAAAGATTATTTTTGTAAATAACCAGGAAGCCAGTACCTGTTTTCCAGAAAACATGTACAGATATTTAAAACAAAAAATCTAGTGCATTGTTAGAAATATGTGAAAAAGTGATCATTACTTCAATCAAGGTAACAAGTGACTAAATGATTATATCAGCAACTATTGTAAAATCATTAATTACAACTCAGGGTTGATTTGTATTTTTTTCTCAGGTACCCTTTTTTCAGGCATTGATGACCAATTAAAATAAAGTCTGACCCACGTATAGAGCTCAGAAGTAAGCAAAACCCATCTGTATGAAAACAGACACAGCTTAGTCCAAATTCCTATGTAATTTATGTATCAATTCAATAAATGGTCATTATGAAATTCTGTATTTTATTCACAAATTTTTTGGTCCTTGTAGTTAATATGTCCACTCATTTTACCCAGATATTACCGATATGTAAATACCTGACTGGTCAAAATGTACAAGTTCATGGAGTTACTAGACCGTGAAATTACTGCCTTAGGTATATCTACAAAATATCCCACAGGAGAATTTGTAATGTATGAATACATTTCTTACTAAACTGTTATTTGTTAACAGCGATTTCTTACTGAACTGTCATTTGTCAGCAGTGATTTCTTACTAAACTGTCATTTGTCAGCAGTGATTTCTTACTAAACTGTTATTTGTTAGCAGTGATTTCTTACTAAACTGTCATTTGTCAGCAGTGATTTTTTACTGAACTGTAATTTGTCAGCAGTGATTTCTTACTGAACTGTAATTTGTTAGCAGCGATTTCTTACTAAACTGTAATTTGTTAGCAGCGATTTCTTACTAAACTGTCATTTGTTAGCAGCGATTTCTTACTGAACTGTCATTTGTCAGCAGTGATTTCTTACTGAACTGTAATTTGTTAGCAGCAATTTCTTACCAAACTGTAATTTGTTAGCAGCGATTTCTTACTAAACTGTCATTTGTTAGCAGCGATTTCTTACTGAACTGTCATTTGTTAGCAGCGATTTCTTACTGAACTGTAATTTGTCAGCAGTGATTTCTTACTAAACTGTCATTTGTTAGCAGCGATTTCTTACTGAACTGTCATTTGTTAGCAGCGATTTCTTACTGAACTGTCATTTGTTAGCAGTGATTTCTTACTGAACTGTCATTTGTTAGCAGCGATTTCTTACTAAACTGTCATTTGTTAGCAGTGATTTCTTACTGAACTGTCATTTGTCAGCAGTGATTTCTTACTAAACTGTCATTTGTTAGCAGTGATTTCTTACTGAACTGTCATTTGTTAACAGTGATTTCTTACTAAACTGTCATTTGTTAGCAGCGATTTCTTACTGAACTGTCATTTGTTAGCAGTGATTTCTTACTGAACTGTCATTTGTTAGCAGCGATTTCTTACTGAACTGTCATTTGTTAGCAGTGATTTCTTACTGAACTGTCATTTGTTAGCAGCGATTTCTTACTGAACTGTAATTTGTCAGCAGTGATTTCTTACTAAACTGTCATTTGTTAGCAGCGATTTCTTCCTGAACTGTAATTTGTTAGCAGCGGTTTCTTACTGAACTGTCATTTGTTAACAGTGATTTCTTACTGAACTGTCATTTGTTAGCTTTCTTACTGAACTGTCATTTGTTAGCTGTAATTTGTTAGCAGTGATTTCTTACTGAACTGTCATTTGTTAGCAGTGATTTCTTACTGAACTGTCATTTGTTAGCAGCGATTTCTTACTAAACTGTCATTTGTTAGCAGCGATTTCTTACTGAACTGTCATTTGTTAGCAGTGATTTCTTACTGAACTGTCATTTGTTAGCAGCGATTTCTTACTGAACTGTCATTTGTTAGCAGTGATTTCTTACTAAACTGTCATTTGTCAGCAGTGATTTCTTACTAAACTGTTATTTGTTAGCAGTGATTTCTTACTAAACTGTCATTTGTTAGCAGTGATTTCTTACTAAACTGTCATTTGTTAGCAGTGATTTCTTACTAAACTGTCATTTGTTAGTGATTTCAGTGTATAGTACACAAGTTGTATACCTACAACACATACAGATGTTTACTAGATTTATGTACAGTACAAATGTCAATCAAAGAAATGAAATTGATTTAATTACTTTATTTTGATCTACTATATCTTTGTTAAATTATTAGTGTATAATATAGCATAATGAATGTCAATTTAACCCTATTTCTATCAGTCATGTAGGACATCATTGTTCAGGAGACGCATCACCAATAAGGGAGATAACTTAAAAAAATTCCTTTGCAAATTCTCAATCGTTCAAATCCCTGGAAATGCAAGGACGAGTTATTTCCTGGAGGGGGGAGTATATAACCCTGGTAAAAAACTAGCTGCAATATAATGTTCGACTAGAGAGAACTTCTCTTTACTTCAATTGGTTGAGTTTCAGACTAGCAGGCCAGGGGTCCCAAGTTCAAATCCTCACCGAGGCATTGAAATAGGTAATGACCTCTGTTACACATTATGAACTGAGGGTCCCCTGGATTTCATTATCACCGTACAAGACTGTATAACATTTTAGATTGTGGATTTCTCAATTTTTATACTGCCAATAGGTGGCCAAAAAATGTTGGTGGATGTTTTTTTCTTCCCCTTTTTTCTCTTTCCAGAAAACTATGATAGCAACACAAATTAACTTCTAGATTTTTTCAAAATTTCGCAGAAATTTTTCATTTGTGTATAGCAGGAGTTTAAATCAATTATTTGTAAAGAATGATTTCTCTGGAGAGGAACTCATATATACATTCTTAAGGGGTTGAATGATTATTCAATATGGGAGATAATTCATTACACATACAATCAATGTTTTTGTTGAGATTTTCATATATTTAAAATATGCATACCGGTATATGCAGTATTTGTTAAAGTGTTGGCTCAAAATAAAAAGTATACAAATATTTTGTATGCAGATATTTTTGTATTTCTTTTCTAATTTACACTTCTATTTACTGAAATGATTAATAAAACTCTCCAATTATTGGCAAAATGATCATCTTTTGTTTTCACTTGATGACATAGGTATTTGAAATACCATGTCTAGCTGAGCTATTCTCTAGTAGTATTGTCTGGATGACAGATCCATTTTCTACACAAAAAAAGACCTTGACATTTGACCCCTGGCTCCCAATTGCAGGTCTTTCACTGATTTCAGCCGAGTCTTCACTAACAGAATAAACGAATGATGTACACAGATGACAGTAGTTTATTTTCATGGTGTTTTTTTTTGAGAGTTTGTGATTACTCTTAATCTCCAAATTAATGTCCAGAACTGAGATCATGACCCAAAATAATAAAAAAAAAAAAATTTAGTGTTCATGGATTTTTATCCAAATCAAATGCTAATGATAATGTATTTTTTCCTGAAAAACCACAAAATATGAGTTCCACCAAAAATATATGATTTTAAAGTACTTTATACCTATTTCCTGGTGACCTGCACCTAAACTCTACAGTCATATTTATTGCAGGTTACAGAAATGGCAGACTTATAATTCTTTTGAAACTACAAAATATCTGTGTGGGCGTATTAACCAAGGCTAACTATCAAAAACATGGAATCATCCCTGGATAACTACCAGACAGATCCATTCACAAAACAAGTAAATAGAACTTAACACAAAGTACAAAAACATGGAAATATTCTTTATTTTAGACGTTTTAACATACAAATGTTATTATCATTTATTATACTTTATTATCTCGCGCACCGTGACATGCTATTCTCACACTCCACTGGCATACCGAAAAATACAGTTCTCACATTTGGACAAACTACTGAACCATGACCATTTCAAAGAGATCAAGATTTAAGAAAATATTGTCTTGAAATGAAAACTAGCTGAAAATTATATAAAGTTTCAAAATTATGAACTCTATAAAATAGATGACCTTTTTGCTGACCAGTACTTTTGATGTGTATTCTAGATAATATCAAAGGAAGATTAAAACTTTGACCTCTTGCTGTGACCTGAAGATTCCAACTTCAGGAACGATATCTTTAAGAAAAGTTGCCTAAAAACATAGTCTACCATTTTAGATTTTAGATTACACAGTAACATTGGAAAAGTCTGATATATCAGACCCTTACTGGATAGTGATATTACATTCTGAAAGGCAAGAAAATGGGTAGAATGTCAATGGAATGTAACTTATGAGACTATGCCAAAATCTCAAGCATTAAGAGCAGATTTCTATGGCTTGGACTCAAAGTTTTGGCCCATAGAACATATTGTCCTGTAATAATAAGCCCCCCTTAACTTAAAGTCAGAGTTTATTGGACCTATAGCCTTGTTACCAGATATATACAGTGTAGTCAGAGGATGCAATAGGAACCTGGTGCTTGATCTAGCAGCACTGGGGCTCTAACTGGCAGCACTGGGGCTCTAACTGGCAGTAATGGGGGTTGAACTGGCAGTAATGGGATTGAACGGACAGCAATGAGAATTTTACTGACAGCACTGGGTTTGAACTGACAGCACTGAGTTTGAACTGATAGCACTGGGGCTCTGACAGCACTGAGTTTGAACTGACAGCACTGGGTTTGAACTGACAGCACTGTTTTTCTGACAGCACTGAGTTTGAACTGATAGCACTGGGTTTGAACTGACAGCACTGTTGCTCTGACAGCACTGAGTTTGAACTGACAGCAAAGGGGCTCTGACAGCACTGAGTTTGAACTGACAGCACTGGTTCAAACTGACAGCACTGGGGCTCAAACTGGCAGCACTGGGCCTCAATTGACAACACTGGGCTCCAACTGACAGCTACTCACTCTGGAAGTCTGAATACAATTTTGAAATTTATACTTTTATAAAAACTTGGGTTGAGGCACAGCATGGGAGAAGTAGCCTTATAGAGTACACCAAGATATATTTTAACTGTTAGTTATGATTTTAACTCCCAACACAGAGAATTAATACTACAGATCTTGTTGAGAGTAAAGGTGGCCTCCTTCCATATTAGAATTCACATAAAAAAAATTCACTTTGCTTCTCTTTTCATCAGAAAACCCATCATTGATTAAAAAAAAAAATGGTAATCATGTAATTCCTGCTAATTTCTACAAGGTTTCACAAGAGTATAGATATGAAGTATTAAGATTTCGGTTTCAAATTTTCTAGTGTTTAATATCTCAAGAAAAACAATTTGTCACAAATTTTACAAAATTTGTTAATTACGATCTACATTTGTATTAAGAAACTAAAATGAGATTCATGTCGAAATAGAGAACATTTCTTGAAAGTTGGATGTCAGAATTTATTCATGGACACAAGCACGGTGTGTTTGTTGTCAGGAATTAAATGGTTCCAGTGGTGAATTGTCATTTACTGTGGATTCATTTATTTTCGTTGGGTTCAATTTTCGTTGTTTCTACAAATTAGACAGTTTCGTGGACTCATAAATTCGTGGATTTTTGATTCTGTGGGAAAAAAATAAAAACGTTAGAATTTTCTCTTTTTGCTTCCAGTCGAATTTTTTTCTGTTTGTATTAAGGCTATGTTCACAGGAATTAACACTAATGACAAGAATAAAAGAACGTTTTTTTTCAAGATGGCGTCCTGTGTTTTTATAACGCTGTTTACAACAGTCTCGCATTAATATCAAACCACAAATCAGTATATATCCTGGCGTGTAATCAATCGGTAATTATCAGAAACAATTGTTTTCAGTGGATAAACATTGTGTGCTGATCAGTCGGTGTACCGCAGTCATATGAAAACACCACGCGTATCGATGGGACCATGTGTGTAAACAGGTGTGTAAACAAGATCTGCATTATTAATAATTATTGTGAACCTGTAGTCGGATAGAAATACGGATCCAATCTTCAATCGACAGGATGGTCCGATCAAGCCTAGTGTCCACAGTGTCGCTAACGACTGCGATCCCATCATACTTAGCATCACAATGGGTACTTACCCTTTGTTATGTTTAATAATATATAATTATATATCGTTGACACCAATTTAGCGTATCCATGTCGAGCCTCAGACTACCCGACTCCCGACTAATTACGGGGCTTCTGTCATTACCGGTGGACGTTTCCGGTGTCGGCAAAGATTACTTGGTCAAATTTCAAAATTACTTTAGTAAGTAGTTCATATTTCGTTGTGTTTTTAAATTCGTGGATTTGCTCATCCACGAAAACAACGAAAATTGGACCCCCACGAAATAAAATGAATCCACAGTATATCGTGTATAATTTCCCATAAAGTGTTGTCTTTTGTTTCGAGTACAGTTTCCACAGAGTGTACAGAATACAGATGAAGTAATCATAAAAAAATCCGACAGATTACGAGTTGGTGAATGACACTTCTTATGAAGTCACCACTTATACAAGTCTTGACGGCTGCAGAATTGATGAAAGATGCTACGATGAGATGTATGTACAGATGAATGTATGGACAATGATGAAGAGGTAGTAGTCACTACATTTCTGGTCCTTCTCCACCAGGAACCAGCTGGAAAATTAGGACAAACGACAAAATGATGTGAGGATGCATCATTAAACTTTTTATATTATGCTTTTCATTAATTAAAAATCATAATAAATTATAAATTATTCACTGAAAACAAATCTTTTATAGTTTATAATTCACTGTAAAAAACACATCTGCTTCAAATTTGATTTACAATACTCTCTGTCTGGCAAATTAGAAACATACCTCAATACTAGCATAAATTAATAATATATGAAATACACTTGAAAATAGATATAAAATGGGGCAAAGCCACAATTGGCCGGGTTGCGGGGTGAGTGCAATGTTATGTGGTATTTATAAGACAGTTAAGGGTGTTTCATTTGTTGAGTATCAAGAAAAAACGTCCGGAATGAATCCATAATAGGAGGTGCACATCTTCAACATATATATAAACATCCTACAAAGTTTCAAGCTTCTATGTTAAAAACCCTAGGAGGAGTTGATTCTACAAAACTGGTACCCCTTTTCCCTGCCCAGCCGCCCACACGACATTCGCCATACTACAACCCAGATTTGCACTGTGCAACCTGGCCAATAATGGACAATATATTTATTTCAGACAATTTTAATATCCAGGTCATTTTTTGACCAATCAGACAAACTCTACAATATCATGGGATAGCCGGACACTTACCATAGTGATATTGTTACCGTTGAGTAATATCTGGTCCAGTTTGGTCACTCTTCGACCCTCCGGTGTGCTCTCACTGTATGCATAACAAAAGATTTAAGGGCAACGATACATAACCTCTATATGATGCCATTCATTCTAAGGTTGTTTTGATATCACATAGTTACTGCAGTATTCCTTTTTCATTTATTGAAATATCACTATCACGGACAGTATAACCTTTCACTGAAGAAAAAAAGCCAGATGTTTCAATTTGACACTTGTACTGGTCATTTTAGATGGGTGATATAAATTAAAAATTTTACATGCATTCAGGAGAAATTGATAGAGTTTGATCAATGCCATATCGAAGTGGCATAGTTTCTTTAATAGTAGTTATATGTACCCGATGGACTTAGAAATTCATCTGTTATCACTACCAATTCAGTATAATGAGAGGACACTGCACACCCACAAATACCTACATATTTACTGATATAAATCAATATCAATTGTCATTGGCTGTGTACAAAAAAGTACTCATGTTCCCTTTCTTTTTTCAAAAATATTCTCAAATCTTCAATGTTTACTTACAATTCTGTGACATCTTCCAGCACCATATCTTACCAGAAGTCAAGGATATATCATGAAAGTTTCCCTCAAGTACAAAGTGATGTATCATGAAAGTTTCCCTCAAGAACACACAGATTATCTTGAAATTATTCCTCAAGAACACACAGGTGTATAATGAAATTACCACTCAAGTACAAACAGATGTATTGAGATAATTCTCCAAAAAGTACATACAAATGTATTATGAAATTCTCACTTAATTACATGCAGGTGTATCATGAAATTCTCCCTCACATACATACAGGTTTATCATGAAATTCTCCCTTACATACATACAGGTTTATCATGAAATTCTCCCTCACATACATACAGGTGTATCATGAAATTCTCCCTCACATACATACAGGTTTATCATGAAATTCTCCCTCACATACATACAGGTGTATCATGAAATTCTCCCTCACATACATACAGTTTTATCATGAAATTCTCCCTCACATACATACAGGTTTATCATGAAATTCTCCCTTACATACATACAGGTTTATCATGAAATTCTCCCTCACATACATACAGTTGTATCATGAAATTCTCCCTCACATACATACAGGTGTATCATGAAATTCTCCCTCACATACATGAGTCATGACCTCACCTTTTGCATAAGGAGGCTCCTTTTTTGAGAACTCATTATACATTGTATCTCTTTGTAACTGGACCTATCAAAATTTTTGGAATGTTGCTATGGACTCACCATGAAAATATCCAACAAAATTTCGTTTTGATTCTCTTTGATTCAGCATATACAGTCATGTAGTAGACTACAGCAGACTTAAAAAGAAGACATTTTAAAAACCATCCCGACTTGCTGTGTCAATAAGAATTCTAAAGGATACTGACGTAGTCATCGAAACCTAGCAGGATTCCAACAATTTCTTTGTCATTTTTCATGATTATGTGTATCCTTGAGCCAATACATTTATCCACCAATTCTGAAAAACACAAATAACAAAAATCTGTTGAAAGGGAATCAACAATTATGAAAGTTCAAAAAAATTCCAGTATCAGGTACAATAAGGAATGAGTGGGCAAGTTAATCTGGTTTGCTTTCCTGAATAAAGACACAACTAAAAATCAGTTGATTTATGAATAAAAGAGGATATGTTAATAGCTTACATGTATTGATGAAAATTTCATCCCCCCCACCCCCCAGATATTTTTCATCTTATAAAATATAGCATCCATCCATTTTTCTTCTTATATAATTTCTAAGATATATCCTCTCAGATGAAATTTGATAAATGATGTAAGTGTTGTTGTTGTGTGGTACTGCAGATATTTATGGACTAGATATTGAAATTGTGATCTATTTATGCACAAGATAATCCTGTTCTACTTCATTATATGTTGATGGGAAATTCCCTTCTAAGCAACCATTTACCAATCGCTCACCAACACCAGACAATTGGTATCACTGTAATAGGACAAGTCCAATGCTTGTCTAAAGGGAAATTCCAACTAGTCAAGTCTAGAAAGGTGACCTGTATTCTCAACTTCTACATTATTGTTTGGCGTCTTTCATTCTACAAATAAAACCTTCTGAACAGTATCCCATGACTGTCAGACTGAAGTGAATTTTGTTGAAGGAATTCTTACTTTTAAAACAATCACAATTATTTTTTTAACACATAATTTGAATAGAATAAAATCATATGACACTTTTTACATTAAATATTTATAAATGAAATATATAAAACATTATCTAAAAATATATACAAAATCTTAACACAGAATACATCTGAAAATATAAATACAAAAATTGACAAATAAAATATACTTATATTTGAGATTGTTCTGGAGTTACGTCAAAATTGTTTTATGTTTAGTTTAGTTTTTGTTCGTGTAAAGTGTGTTGTGCAGTCAGGTTTCAGCTGGTCTATGGATGTTATATATATTTTTAATGTAGTGTTGGTATTGACAGCTGTGCAGAAATTACAATTAAAATGCTTTCTTTACAAAATCTTTTTCAGTGCAATTATAACCATGTAAATGACACTTGGCATTCATTAGACAAGTGTGGCACAACTCCTCATATGGGTAATGTTCCTGCATTTGAAGGATAGTTACATGTTCATTTGAAATAGAAAGGCATGAAGTTCTTTTAAACATTTGCAACAATGATGTCTTATTTTTTAAATAGACCAAATAACTAATGCAACATTGGACATTTTCACATGAAAAGTTGTGAATTAAGTTGTCTTGCTTTTTGTAAAAGTCAAGAACTTATCAACTTTATTGCTTTACAACTTGCTTATAAAGAGGTTAAAAACAGAACACTGATAAATTCATGCTCACCTATGACATTTGCACTAAATGCAGTCACTGGTTATACACTCTAGTCAAAGTAAGTGATATGAATTGCCATTTTCACGCATAGAAAGATCAAAGAAATGAACATTTCCTATGCAGTAATATGCATAATCACATTGGCTATTGGGTTATGTCAAAAGGAAAAAAAAAACTTTACTGTTGCAAATTTTTAAACAAACTTTGTGTTTCTATTGAGAATGACCCTACATTTGAGTAACTAACTACTACTCAAAGTAGTAACTTTCCCTCAAATGTAGGACCATTACCCATATCAGGGAATGTACCTAGCCTGTTATATCTTTGATAATGTGCTTTTTAACCCCAGCGCCCCTGTCCTGTCCCATCCACATGACGTCTCGTATATTTTGACCCTTTAGATTTGTGATTTGGCTTCTGAATAGAAACTTTATAAAATACGACTTGGACAATTGTATTGAAAACTCGTGCCCACACAAACCACACAAATGACGTGAGGAGTGGCCGAGAAAACCACAATAATGTCGCACCATCAATATCTCATCTACGTAACGTACTGTTTCTGATTCATTCACAAACTGCATCCTAAACGTTAGGCCTACTTTCTTATTTGACAATATGCCAAGCGACCTAAATTTGTATCAACCGACATTCAATTTAAAATTTCAATTCATTTTACAGTTTAAAAACAACAAATACTGTCATCTGAACAAACCTAGCGGTAGAAGTTGCGATGGGTTGGAAAACGTCGTCGTCATTCCTTTGAAGAAGTAAGACACACAACAGAACTTATCAACCCACGTGAAAAACGAAGATGCTGCAGAGGAGAATTCTTTTCGGTATTCGTATGAATTACTATATCTCTTCTATGATAAATTACAAGTGATCCGAATAGAATTTACCTCATCTTCCGGTTACGAACAAGCACCGGAAGCTTGCGGAATTAGGCGGAAATTACCGAATCAATTCCGATTGATGGCCGACGATGGAGAAACACAAAGATGCTGATACATTTAACATGGATTTCTGCAAAATCTAAGGATTTTAAGAAATGAGTCAACAAGACCAGCAACCCGATGCGGCAGCTGATCGAGACTTGGAGTACTATTTCAGGCCAGGTAGTTGATTAAGTGCTGGTGTATCTATTGTTGTGATGAATAGCGAGTCTTTACGGGCGATTGGGAGTACACACAAGCTTTTGACAGCTTTCCCGGGTAGCGAAACAATTTACCGTTATTTAAGTCTGTAGTGTACCAGTTGAACTCATTTATTGTCTTTGAATTATTTCATTATTGTTTTATAATTATGGACAGGGGAAATCCTCGTTTATACGTTTATAAATATTTGAAAATATGACCAACACAGACGATAAGTTGGTGATGAAGATGCAGCTGAATCCAAGATTCAGAGGCTGGGATTCCATGTTTCGTCATTTTAACGGAAATTCGTTTAGAAGTCCGGCGTACATTAATTAATTGATGTAAATTTAAAGAAATATTTTCCTGGAATCTAAAATCAGTATTATTTTTTGTAAACATAGTAGTATTGTTTCTGTATTTGTAATTGACATAATTATCAACCTGATTGTGCATACCATTTATAAATTAGATCTTTATCTCCCAAGTATTAGGATGTTTTTTTTCTGGGACCGTGTGAATAATTGGTTCTTAAAAAGTATAACGTAGAATTATCACATGTAAATTATTGCATCACTGTTACATATATAAATAATGCAAAAATAATAAAAGCTCAATCAAGAGTGGATTCAGCATTATTTTACATACCATACTAGTCTGATAGGTATCGCTGTAGGCTTTTCAATCTCTTCACTTCAGGCCTTTAAATGATTCTCAAAATACATGTATATAAACACTTTCTGGGTACAAGTGTTTAAGATATTTAATTTGGTTTTTAGGAGTTTTTTTACAAAATACAAACTAAAAAAAGGATTAAAAAATTCAGCTATCACTCTGCATTTCCTATATATGTTACACTTGCAGAATGCAAAGCAAATGTGGAATTTGCCATTTTAAATATTAAATTACTTCTTTTTCATGTTAGGATGTGAAAATCAGGAAAAAATACACATTAGCAAATTTATCATAAGCCCTAAAGCCAGTATATGTGTTATTACAGGAAACGTGATTCAGTCGTGTAATATTTTCTCATACAAGTTTTTATATGCCTTGTTAACAGCAGCTCACACTTTTTCTGGGAATTTTTTTTTCAATCATTTAATTCCAGTACATGTAATAATTGTATGACTAATGATGGCTGGTTTGTTGTTGAAATCAAATTTATAATAACATTGACCTGTAATCATAAAAAAGACCTCTCATGGTAGATAAATGCTGTGTGGACATGTAAATTTTTGTACTATGTGATAGACATTACATGTACACAACATTTATTGGTAAATAAAGATGGCTTTTCTTGTGATTGCCTGTCATTGATGACATGTAGTCACATCAGGTACACAGTAAAACAATTGTCAAATGATGAAAAAATAAACCAAGAATTTGAAATTCTTATCGGTATGGTTTATAAAACAATTCCAGAGGAGTGCAAATGTTGTCCTGTTGAGCTGCGGAAAGTGGCTGTGTTCTGGTAAAAGTTAAATTGAAACATACATAACACTTAAATGGTGACACTCAAATGTGAACATTTCGGTGGTAAAGTATGACACGTGTTTCAAAATACATATATTGAATAAAATATAATCTCTGTGTCACAAATTACTAGTGATTATCAGATAAAATCAGTTATTTTATTATTCAATCTCATCTGATGTGGTAATGGATTCATAATTGATCATTGGTACCTAGATATTTTCTTATCTTTCAGCAAAAATAAACTTTTTATTATGCATTAAAAAGATGCTAGTTGTAAATGATATTCATTGTAAGGAAAAAAATATATATTTTTGTTTCTGGTTTCTTAAAAAAAGTAAAAAATAAAAAATAGGGACATTACATAAGGATTTTTTTGTTTTCTTCTTTTTTTTTAAAGTAATGTTTACTTTCTTTTGAGACTGATATCTCAAGTACTACAAATTGATTAGGAATTGTTTATACCCATGTGTTAGGTATGATTAGGAATTGTTTATACCCATGTGTTAGGTATGCTTATGTGTTGCATTTGTTGATTTGCCCCAGGGTATGTATTGATATTTCTGGGGATTGCCAGCAGACATAAGATAAGCAAAATCGTAAAGGATATTTAAGAGTAATCTTTTTGACAAAATGTTAGGAAATAAAACTTGATAAGGTGTTTGGTTGATGTGGGTTGGTTGATGTAGTTTTCCTCTCTGTCTGTCCGTTTTTTCTTTCGTCGATGAAAGTTTGTCAACACTCAGAGTTTCAGGGTTGCTAGATCAAGTTCAAGGTCCCTGATGCTATATTTAGAAATTTTTAAAATCATTACAGTGTAATAGCTTGTGGGGACCGGAAGCAGACTAATTACTTTAGCAAGTATCAGTATGCTTGTTGAATATCAGTAACTATCACTTTAGGTAAAATTATGGTTTTCATTTTTCTTCTGTGTATTGCATAACTTTAAGACACCCCTACCCCCCCAACCCACACACCCCAATCTTAGGTGAAGAGCCTTGAGAACATGTATCTGTTGTGATCCTGCTAGGTCCAGTTATAAGGACATCACAGGCAGCAGTATACAGTGGGATGTAGGTAGGTGAAACACTCAAAATCTCTCTCCTCGCCCCTCGGAATCTTGAATTCCTGAACTACAAGGGTTTGAAAATATCACAAAACAATGACTCCCTACAAAGTTAGATTGAGTTGCAGTAATTATGCCTCCATTGGGTTACATGCAACATTAATTAGGAAAAGACAAGTAACCAAGCTTATCCCCCTTTCTTCAAACCTCTCTATAATGAAAATCTTCTTAGAAATTTTCCTTTTTCTGTGTCAGTCATTTGACTGTATGTTCATTCTTATAAAATATTCAAATACAATCTTAATGAGTAAAACAAAGACCTTTGAACAGCGGATTCCACTAACAAGGGAAAAAACACAGAAAAAATGGACCTCTTGTAGAATTACATTGTAGATTACCAGTATTTTTTATTTCAAAATCATTATATGTAATATTAATGAACATCACTGAATTAAATTTCAAATAGCGAGCTGAAATGGTATAATTTGATTTTCATTTAAAAGTCATTAATTTTATTCGTTGTAAAATTTCATATCCAGTTGAAAGTACATACATGTATGATAAAATGATGACAAAAAAATTGTCTTTGTATAAAAGGAATCTTTTGAATAAATTTGCACCATATAATGGGAAATGCCTTGTAGGCGTGATCAAAGATAAGAGATATATTTACTAGGTAACTCCTCTGTTGGTGCGTGTACATGTAATTCACCTAGAACATACACAAAAATATCCACTGGATTTTACATTTCCCTGCTGGCTAGATGAAATAGAGCCAAGAAAGGCTTAATATATGCTTTATTCTGTTTGTATGTACAAGAAAGGCTTAATATATGCTTTATTCTGTTTGTATGTACAAGAAAGGCTTAATAGATGCTTTATTCTGTTTGTATGTACAAGAAAGGCTTAATATATGCTTTATTATGTATGTATGTACAAGAAAGGCTTAATATATGCTTTATTCTGTTTGTATGTACAAGAAAGGCTTAATATATGCTTTATTCTGTTTGTATGTACAAGAAAGGCTTAATATATGCTTTATTCTGTTTGTATGTACAGTAAAATCATTTATCTTTGTGTGGAATTATTTTCATTTATATCATTTACACTCTATATCCACAAATTTTTATGTCCACATAATTGTATTTTAATTCATCATGTTTTGTCTGTTGTTCTGCACTCTCCTCAGTGTCCTGTGTGTTAACTTTCCATTCAAATGACTGGCATTGGGCCTGTAGCATGCTGAGATGAATGACTGCCAAGTTCATCAAAATCCATGTCCTTGATCCACTCTCACAGTCACTAGGGTCAAAATGTATGAAAATCTTTAACTTACTTTTCTTAATAACCAAAAGGCCAAGGGTGCTGATATTGGACCTTAACATGCATGGATGCAGGGCTAACAAGTTTGTCCAAATGAATGACCTTGACGAAGTTTGAAGGTCACAGGTGTCAGTTGTGTTAAAATCTGTAGACAACTACTTCTCAATGACCATTGAACCTCTATCATATATAAGTCTTTATAATCAGATTACTGTAAAGGCCCATTAGCCTCTTGTTTCGAAAAAAAAGGTGAAAAATGAGTGTAACGAAAATAGACTGTTTTACAGTATTTACATGTAATTTAACAGAACAAATACATTCAATACTTTATTGAATTAGATTTGGAACAATGTTTGAAGAAAAGTCTGTTTAGCTTTAATGAAAGAAAGGAAATTCTTTGTCTAGATTCTTGTGACCTTTTAGGAATCCTGATGGCCTTGTTTGTTTATGGAGACTGATATCTGTATGCCCTCAAGTTCACACAGGAAGGATGGTGGGCTGATGATAATGAACATCGTATTTATTTTGAAAAATGGCAGTTTTAAAAGTGCTCACATTGCTTTTTTCAATCATTCGTTAGATAGGATAATTTTGTCAAGGAAGGAAATACATTATGTAGTTCAATTTGGAAACACATACTGTGTTTGACCCAATAAGTGCCCATGTCCCTATAAACGCCCCCTCCCCCCTTCAGATACCTAAAATCTAGATTTACTTACGTTTTAGTCAAGATCAAGAATTGTTTTAAGTCGGTTTATAAGGAGATGTACTCCAGAAAAACATAAAAAAACAGTTAATCTCCAGTCAACC